AAATGCTTCTTCTAAGTATGTGGTTATTAAATAAATAATTTAAAAAAATTTTTTTAAATTTAAAAAAAAGCATCAACTAGGCTGGAGAGATGACTCAGTGGTTAAGAGCACTGGCTGCTTTTGCAGAGGACTGGGGTTCAAATCCCAGCACCTAGATGGCAGCTAACAACTATCTATAACTCCAGTTCCAGGGGATCTGATGCCTTCTTCTGACTTCCTCAGGTATTGCACAACATGGGTGCACTTACATACATGCAGTCAATACATTCAACATACATAAAATTTAAAAAAAAATGCATCTGCCTATTTTGCTTTCAACTGACTCATTCACCTACATGTGATTTTTATAGTATTTTGCTTTGTTTTTTGGCAAATGCTGATCACTGAGTTATGCAAATAAGTAGACATTGACATCACATAAGAATAATAAACACATAACTTTTTTCACTTCCAATCTAATCTTGTCATTAGAATCTTTATTACTGTCAGGCTCATGGTGCTGGATACAAGTTCTTCCAAATTCCAACTTTCCACATGAAAGCTCTGATTGCATTTCTGGTAGACTGACTCACTTCATTCATTTTCAGGAAAACTGCACAATATATCAGAATTATTAGTATTTGCCTGTGCCATTCTTTCAGGTCAAAATGGTGTCCTTGAAAAAAACAGCTAGTGCAGCTCTCAAGTCAAACAGGCACAGAAGTGTTTCTCCCAGGCAACCAGTGAACTTGCACGCCAGCATTTATGGGCACTTCTGTCATGCTACCCAGAATAAAAAAAAAATGCATGCTCAAAGATTAACATCACAAAATAGGCAATTTTTGGTTCAAGAACATTCAAGCCTAGACTAGCATCTTAAGCTTTTAATTATTATTTTATTTTAAATTAATTAATTAATTTTTTTTTTTTTTGGTCTTTTTGAGACAGGGTCTCCCTGTAGCCCCAGCTGGCCTGGAACTCACTATGTAGACCAGGCAGGTCTTGAACTTACAGAGATCCGTCTGCCTCTGCCTCCCAAGTGCTTGGACTACAGGTGTGTGCCACCACACCCAGCTATTTTATTTATTTATTTTAAATTTCATTTTATTATTTTTATTTTATGTCTATGAGTGTTTTGCTTGCATGTATGTAAATGCACCAAGTACATGCAATGCCCACAGAGGCCAGAGAGAGTGTTGGATCCTCCTTGAAACTGGAGTTAAGGACGATTGTTAGCCACCATATGGGTGCTGGGAATAGAACCCCAGTCATCTGGAAGAACAGTAAGTGTTCTTAACCACTGAGTCATCTCTCCAGTCCCTTATTTTTATGTGTACAAGTGTATTGCCTGCATGTGTGCACCCATGTCATGCAATGCCCATCGAGGTCAAAAGAGGGTATTACATTCCCCTGGAACTGGGGTTACACATGGTTGTTAGCTGCCATGTGGGTTCTGGGAATTGAACTTGGGTCCTCTGCAAGAGCAGCCAGTGCACTTAACTGCTGACCCATCTCTCCAGTCCCTAGTGTTTTAAATTGTTTACTTGTAGTCATTATTAGTACACTTTGATGTTATTGAAGGATGGATGGATGGGATGGGTGCATGGGAAGGTAGATGAACTGACACACAGACCAATCTTAATTTGTGTTTAGGGCTTTGACATGGCCGTGTACTGAACCAGCATCTCCTTTTAGTTAGTATACTTTTTCTCTCCTCTCATTTATGTTCTCTTTCCTTCTTGCTTTCAATCCTAGCTTTTTCTTCTTCCTCTTTCTCTTTTTCATTGTTTTGTTTTTTGAGGCAGGGTCTCATTTTCCCAGGCTAGTTTCCAATTTACTACGTAGCTGAGGGTGGTCTTGAACTTCCAATTCTACCTTTAGGGCCTCCTACCTCTAACACCCCCAAGTGATGCAGTGCTAGGGATAGAACCCAGGGTTTTGTCAGGCAAGCACTGTACCGACTGAGCTGTCTCTAGCCCCTATCATCTTGTTTTTAAAAAAATTCACCCTTGGTGCCTCCTTTCCCCCACTTTTACTTCAATCTATTCATCTCCCATCACCACTGCTCTGTTGAACTTATTAGTCTTACAACCCTAAAAGCCTCACAAGGTTGAGGGCTGCCATCCAACCTTTTTCTTACTTGATATTCCTAGGAATCTGTTGATTACCTCCTCTTGTTTAACAATCATTTTTATCGTAATACACAGTTTCCAAAAGCAAAGTTGTACTAAAAGGCTTTTAATAAAATCCACTGGTTCCTTTCCCTACCAGCTCAGGTCTCCTTAGTTATCCACCCCACTTCTCCACAGAACCTTCTCGACTTCCTTTGTTTTGAGGCCACCTTCCATGGTTACGACTACCTTGTTTTCCCATCTTTGTATTCATTTCTCTTCTCACTGAAACTGTAGCTCCCATCAAGAGGTAAGAGCCTAGGTTTTCATCCCTTAATCTGGGTTTAGCTATATGGCTCATGTCCACCAATGTAATAGATAGATGTAAAACAAACACTTCAAAAGTGCTAGTGGGTTGGTCTTGTCATTATAGTCCTTTTGCAAACCCTACAAAAACTCTTTAGAAGAGCCTGTGCTAGCTTGCTACATGCCGAAGCATAAACAGGATAAGCCACTGCTGTTCCTCCAGGTAGCATCAAACCCACACAAGATGTGTGACTCTTCTAGGTTGTCCAGCCTCAGCTGAGTTCACCAGCTGATCATAGAATTCAATGGATTGCTTCAAACCAGAAGTGTCCAATTTATCCCAATTTATGAAAAATAGAAAAATGTATGTTCTTTGGAGCCATAAATTTTGGGGTGGCTTATTATCAAGTAAGAGTTGAGACAATACATTCCCTTTTGTAGTATATACACAGTTCCATAGTCTTTCTTTAAATTAAAACTTATTTGTATATGACATATGAGTGAGTGCAGGTGCATGTGACAGGACAACTTTTGGAAGTCAGTTCTCTCCTTCCACTGTGGGTCCTGGGGATCAAACGCAGGTCCTTAGGCTTGAGGGGCAAGCACTTTTACCTGTTGAGTCATCTAGCTGGCCCTCTTCGATTGTGAATCTGTGTAAATGTGGGCATTCACATGCCACATGGTATGTGTGGAGGACAGAGAACAAACTTGGTGTTGGTCCTCCCCTTCTACCTTGTTTGAGTCAGGGTCTTTCATTGTCTCCCTTGCTGTTGCATGGCCAAAAGAGCAGGCCAGTGAACTTCTGAGGGTTCCCCAGACTCTGCTTCCCATCTGGCTGTGAGAGAGCAGGCATTATAAACTGGTCAAGCCATAGTGTTGTGCTTTACAAGGATTCTGGAAATCTGAACTCAGGTCCTCACGCTTGCCTGGCAATCACTTTACCCATTAAGCCATCTCCTCCACCCCAGATCCATATTCTTTTGTTTTTATTTATTTATTTTTGAAACAGGTTCTCATTTTGTAGCTCTTGCTGACTGGAAGTCAAAATGTAAACCAGGCTGGCCTCAAACTCACAAACATCTGCCTGCTTCTGCCTTCCAAAGAGCTAAGATTTAAAGGCAAGTGCCACCATATCCAGCCTCAGGTCTATATTCTGAAACAACAGACACATACGGTATACTTTCATTAATCACTTTTAGACATTATGGTAGACTAAGTTTTCAGTCTTGAGCTGTCGTCATCTGTTACCTTCCTCCTCCCCAAACATACACTACTCACTGTTCTTTGAAACCTTTAATATTCAGTGCTTGATTATGTCTTGTATCCACAGTTGATATTGTGGTGCACCCTTAAATTTCTTTTGAAGGTAGCCACCAAGTCCTATACAAATACAAAAATGAACACGAGTAAAAATATTCTTGACTCATTAGTTGAGGATCTTAAGATGTTAGAATCAGTTCTGGAGAGAAGTTAAAGCACACAACTCTAGTGTTGAAGTAGGAACAGAAAATGAGTTACCAAATTCATGTCAAATGGCTTTCTCCCACGAGGGTTAAGATTCAACACGAAGCCTAATGAGCAAGTGTTAGACCTGCCCAGAACCCCAAAGAAAGGCGAGGTTCACTCTGGAATCAGAATTTGCAGAAAAATGTGTTAAGATTATATGGCTTATTGCTCACTAAAGACATCCTATTTTTGTGGCTGGTTTCGGAGTACCTCACTCTCACAATTTCCCTGTTCAAAAACTCACTATTATCTGTAAAAACCCAGCAGCTAAGCAGTTTTTCCACTTTATCCTGCTGCCATTTTCCTTAATCCCTTGGCCTTTAGCAGAGTAGAATTGTATTCTATGTAGCCTCTAAGTAGGCTTCAGAGACATAGGGGAAGGGCTGAAATCCTACCCTTCATCCTCGGGGAGCTCTGCACTTCGGGCCAGGAAGGCTTAGCCCCGCCCGTTCCCAACAGGCTCCGCCCGCATAGGCACGTGCATAGGCACGCCCCTGGTCGGTCCAACAATGGAGTTGCGCGGGCACGCCACGTGAGCAGTGCAGTCCTGTGACAAAGACAACGTGGCAAGACAGCGTCACAGATCTCCGTGCCCGCTATCTGCTGTCCAACCCAGGCTCGTTTCTCCCTTTTCTGATTAAAGTCCTCGTGGCTGGCCTCGCCTTGGGGGTGGGTGACCCGCCGAACTCCGCCAGCCCACACTACTGGGACTCAGTGAGCGGAGCCACGATCTCGCAGCCCGAGCAACGCCAGAGAGAGTTGAACTTTTGATTGGACGGGAACTGCTGTCAATCTCTACGTTTTGTCCAATCAGAAGCCGGATTCCTCCAGCTTCTCATTTCCCCATTGGTGTATGTGTGGCGGGAGGCGGAGAGAAAGACCGCTAAATTGCGGTCGCGCGAGAACGGCTCTCGGCGCTCAGAGCGCAGGCGCGAAGGAGTTGGCTGGGGTCCGGCTGAGGGCGGGCTTGAGAAGGCGTCGTTTGTCTTTGGAGACCGTCACCGGGTCGTCTGTTCAACCGCGGACTAGAAAGCTTTTGTCAGGGGCCTAGTCGAGAACGAGGCCCGCGAGGTTCCCGATGGTGTCCATGACTTTCAAGCGAAGCCGCAGCGACCGGTTTTACAGCACCCGGTGCTGCGGCTGTTGCCATGTCCGCACCGGGACGATCATCCTGGGGACCTGGTACATGGTAAGGGCTGGCGGACAGGGCCGCTCCGCTCGGGCCAGTGCGCATGCGCGCGAAGCCGGGTTGCCCGGTCCGGGGGTTGGGGAGTGGGGAGTGGGGCCGTGCCATAGAAGTTGCGGGGCGCTGCGTTTAGGGGTTCCTTTTCTCTGAAGAGAGTCTGGGAACGTTGCGAGAGGAGACGTCCCAGGAATCGGGAGAGGAACAGGAATAGGGACATTTTTTTCGTGTCTGGAATTTGAGGGAATAAAAGCGGATTTGGGACAAGGATGTTAGGTTTTCATAGAGAGCCCTGGGAATTACTTGGATTGGATGGTTGTTGTACTTCCGCGATGGATTGGAACGGTAGGGTTACCCTACCCGGTGCTCCCTGGAATGCCCCCCTTCCCCAAGCGAAACAAAGTAGACCTTGATATATGCGGCCTGTTCGTACATTGTCTTGCCCAAATGGGAAGAGAAAGCCAGTTGTAGCCCAGTGCTTCCTGGAGCTTGTTTTGTTAAGGCGTGCCTGTGATTTAGGCAGACAGGACAGGCTCCCTTTTGAGTCTAGGTATAATCTCTTGGCATCGAGACCGTTCGCCAGGGTTTAACGCACTTTTCTCCGGTGCATCCCTCTTTTAGATGGCACACCCGCTTCGTTTTTGAAATTTATTGAGAGCCTGGGTGTCCCTGCTGGCATTTCCTAGGTTCCAACATCTGTGTGATTCTGTTTCACCAGATGGGACGGTCCTGTTGGTTGCTGGGTCAGTAGAAATTATTTTTGTGATTTCTTACCATAGTTCCCAGTAACCGTTTATGTTGCACTTAATTTGCCTGCCACTTCCAAAAACGGATTCTGTTTAGGTAGTTTAAGTTACTTTAACTTTGCTGAAGCTTTGAAGAACTTCGTGTCGACCTGGCTATTTGGATGCCTTTGATGTTTGTTGCCGTGTGGGGATGAGGAGTAGCGTTGGTGATACTGTATAGTGCTGATACAAAGGGCCAAAGGAGGGAGAGATTGAATCCTGATCTCTTCCCCCCCCCTCTCTCTCTGTTCTCTCCTCCACCCACTATCCTGAAGTCATCAGTAACTGGACAAACACCAGCTGAAAATCCTCTTCGGGCAGATGGTCCTGGTCCACTCCAGGGAACTATCGGAGCCCTGCGTTATTCCTGTTTTTCTGTCAGGCCTCTTTAACCTAGAAAAGAACAACCGTAAAGCTTGAATGTGCAGCTTTATTTGCTGTGCTGAGATTGTTTTCATGTACTTTTGTACTCAGTCATCTTACTGGTACTGTATAATTATATCACATGTTCCTTTAAGAAACTTCCGTGTTCTGTATTTTAAGTGGGTTGCAGTCCTGGGTGGACATGGAACAGTTAATGACAATCAGCTGGATTGCATATCTAGCTTCCTCATTTCTTTGACATTTTGCTAAGGGGCTGGGTCTTTAATCTCTTCTGTTTGTTCTTAGCTGTCTTCCATTCACGAAGGGTTGATTGATTCATATCTTCCATATCATCAAGCCTTACTTAACACCCCCGCCCCCCTTTTCTTCCAGAGATGGCTTTCCTTCGCACTTAGCTTTTAAATAGGATTGCAACCCGGAATCCTTGCCTGCAAACTTCATCTGTTTCTCCGCATTCTCTCCATGCACAAAGGGCTTCAAACTTCCCAAGAAGAAAAAGACCTACTTGAGCCATTCAAATGCCTTGGCAGCATTTCACCCCACCCTTTGTTAGGCTGGGTTTTTGATGCTTTGGGTTTAGCTTGTGAAAATGAACAGTGGGAGTGATAAACAGGAAACAAAATAGGGAGAGGAAAGCTGTGTTAAGGACTTGTTTTTAACAAAGTATGGAACAAGGGGTTTAAATCTGTAGCCCAGTTGAGGCTGTTAGTGTGAAAAGGGATTCTTTTTTACGTTTTGCTTTCAGTTTTGAAAAGGTGTTACTTTGGGTAAACTCATCCCTGTAGAACATTATAAATTGTCAGTTGATGTGTTTTAAATAATTTAAGAGATATATTGTCTGTTTTCAGTTGTAAAAGGCTCTGAGAGACATAGAGAAGGGCAGGGCTCAGCACAGGCCCAATGACTTTTGTGTTCTTCTTACCCTGCAGTTCCCTGCTTCTTGTCTTGATCTTGGCATCTTCCCCTAAGATGTTTGTTGATGGTATTACAAAGAACTTTGGAACACAGCCAGGAAAGTGAAATTTACAGTGATGGGGGAAAGATGGGCAGCCATACCAGATTCTAATCAGATTAAGGGGTGGACAAGAGGGGTTTGTTTTGTGTATTGTAGTGTTGGTGACTTTCTGAAATGTACAAGCTTCAATACTATAGCAGTATGAAGACAGTTTCTGCTAGTGGGGAGACATGTAGCACTTAAGAGATGTAACTAGAGTGTGCTACCTCTAAATAGTCCTTACCCAAATAGTGCATTTTGCTACCTTAAGCTCCACTAAAATGTAGGCACTAGATAATAGGTAAAATGCCATTTCCTCTTTAACTACTTTGTGGTGGACATTGTTCCTTGTCTGTGGGTGGGGTGGGAGGAACAGTATGTCCTGGATTTGTGATTCTGTGATGTTTGAAACTTGAGATGCATCCCTCTGCTCTACTGGGCCTAGACACTATGTTAGTTACTATATGGTGTTTCTGATTTTTTGCAATGGCTTCTGCTGTACTGTTTTAAGAGACTGTAACCCTATATACCCCTATATACAAAAGTATTTATTGTTTGGAGCCAGGCATTGGTGATGGATGCCTGCAATGCCAGTACTTTGGAGGTGGTGGCTGGAGGATCAGGAGTTCAAAGCCAGCCTTGGCTATAGGCCAGCCTATGCTACATGAGTTGCTGTCAGAAAAAAACAAAACCAAATCCCTAGATATTAATAGTATCAAATAGTTCGGTGGGACAGAGAAAGCCAGAACCGGTTCTGTGCACTGAAGAGTTGGTATTTACATTTTATGTTTGGAAGAAGCATGCCTGGCTTAAGTATTAAGTGATTGTTAAAAAAAAAAAATCTTACTGAATTTTTGTGATTTTTATACAATGTAATTTGATGATATTTAGATCCCCTACCCCATCCAATGCTCCCCTCATTGCCCTTAACCCAATTAAGTGTACACCACTACATAAACAATACAGCCTATAGAGTCTGATTTGTGTTCCCATGGATCCATCCACTGGACCCTGGTCAACATACCAAGAGTCCTATCCCTGTAAGAGATTATCTTTCCCCCTCCCAGCAGCTACCAGTATTGCCAAAAGTTCTTTAGGTTGACTTGGGATATCTTACCCACTTCCCCATGTTTATGTTGGGATTTTGTTTGGTCTAAACTTGCATGGGACTTGTACATGCTGTCACCAATGCTGTGATTTCATATGTGTAACTGTCCAACTCTCTGGAAAACTCTTGTTTTCTTGTGGTTATCCACTATATCTGGCTCTTGCAATCTTTCCATCCCCTCTTTTGTAATGATCCCTGAGCTTGGGAGTCAAAACTTTGAAATAAATGTTCTATTCAGGGATGAACACTCTGCAACCTCTGTTCTCTGCACATTGGCCAGTTGGAGGTGTAAATGATTTTAGAATGAGTTCAAGTTTAAATTCTTACATTCTTCAATTTGATTTCTTTATTATTTATTAAAGAATTTGAAGCCAGATAATTTTTATTAAAGAATTTGAAGCCAGATGATTTTTAGCCAGATAATTTTTAGCCAGATAATTTGAAGCCAGATAAAATAGTATTAAAATCTCCCATTTACTAATCACCTAGTTCCAGCCATTAATATTTTGCCAATTCCAGGCAGATTTTTATTGGTCAGCTCAAATGTTTTCATGGTAAAACTTCTTTGCTTCTCAGCCAGATGATCTAATTTCCTCACTGTGTACTTGGAAAAGTTTCTAGGTGACTGTTTTGTGTGCTCATTGTACATTAGTATGATTATCTTTTAAAAAAATTTTTTTCACTCCAATAAGATGTCCTGCTGGTCTAGGGGTATAGCTCACTATAGCGTGCTCATCTAAGAGCTAGTGACATAGCTCAGTTGATAGAGGCATGTCTAGTGTGCATGAAGCACTGGATTGGATCCTTAGTACCACATAACCTGGGCTTGGTGGCACATGCTGTAATCCTAGTACTTGGGAGTTAGAAACAGGAGAATCAGGAGTTCAAGATCATCCTCAGCGTCATGGAATACTCATCAAGTATGTAACACAGGCTCTAGCTTTAATCTCTGGGGGCACCAAAAAAGGGATGATGAAGTCTTTTTTTTTTTCAAAATTTTATTTATTATTTTTATTTTATGTGTACGCATGTATTGCCTGCATGTAGGTAAGTGCACGTGTGTTGTACAATGCACGAGGAGGTTAGAAGAGGCTGTCGGATCCCCTGGGACTGGAGTTAGGGACAGTTGTTAGCTGCCATGTGGGTGCTGGGATTCAAACCCGGGTCTTCTGCAAGAACAACCAGGGTTCTTAAACATGGAGCCATCCCTCCAGCCCCGGTGAAGTCTTAATCTGTAAAGTTAACTTACTGATTAGAACATTTGAAGCATCCAGTAGACATTTTTGAAATGAATTTTTTTCTTCCAAAAAAAAATAGGAGTAAATCAGTTGTAACTGTACATAGTAGTAAACCACAAAAGAAATCTTTTCTAAGGATGATCAGTTTTGATCTTTAAGTATGGCAGTTCTCTGCATAGTTTTGTTTGCCTGTAAAACCCCTCCCTACATGTGTCCTAAAGCAAACACACTGTTTTAATTATAGTCTCAGAAGTTACTGGATTGGGGCAAAATAATGCTGTGAAAAAAACAGTACAATA